ACATACCAGTACTTTCAATATATTGAAGATACATATATATTTATATTTCACAAAAGAATAATATGTTATATATACAAATTATTCCCTATAAACTGATGATAATTATCTCCAAATATTATTTATTTAATCAAATCAAAGCTAATAAATTGATCACAAGAAAAATTAGCCCACATCCCTCATGAATTTTTTTTTTTTTTTTTTTAATAAATGAAACAACTCAACTGCTAAATTTTACAAATCAAAGACCTATGAATAAATAAAACTTAAAACAAATAAATAAATAATAAATTAACAATGAGACCTAGCATAAATATGTTATTGAAGTAAAATGTAAAGAAGTCTCAAGAACAGACTAATAACTTTTACATTCATAATATTTGAAGGACTCGTTATCTCAACTTGACAAGCGTTTGATTTGCTCTTCAGATGTTTTCACTTATTTCGCCCAACAATTTCCAGACCCCCACCAAAGGATTATGATTCTCTTCTGATCTGATTTTTATGTAAACAAAAGAAACAAATATGACTAGTGGTTCAGTTGGTAAAAAAAAAATCAAATTAAAAGGAAACAAATAATAACCATACATTATCATTAATGAACAAGTGTCATGAGATTTTAAAAAACTCAGTAGAGCTCAGATCAAGAGAGGATCTTGGTTGCCAACCCACTTAGAAATCTTCATTAGCATAAGAATAGATAGATAAAAGATTATTAAGTTGGTTAAAAAAAAAAAAAAAAAAACCAAAAAATAGAGGTTTGAGATACTTCGTTATAAAAATATTTGGTAAATCATTGATCCAATTTTACGACTCTACTTGTTTTCTCCATAGTGTTTATTTACTTATTTTCTTTCTTGATGGAATTAACTCAATCCTATATAATTACTAAATTTGTGTAACTATCATTAGATTTATATTGAATGTAGTAAGCGAATAACTTGGTAATTGGCTTTAATTCTCCTTATGTCTAGTTAAATGTAAGCAAAATAGTAATATCTTTATGTCTAACTTTGGTTTTTTATTTTATCTTAAATTTAGAAAAATATTATGTTTGACATAGAAAAATATTTCGAAAATAGTTTTCAATTACAATCCCAAAAACTAGTATAAAATTAAAAACAATTAAAGATCGTTTCCTATAGATTTTAATATGAAAATAATTTTTAAAGATTATATCAAACACATTTTGAAATATAAAAAATATTAAAATATAACTCAAAATTTTAAATCATATTTTAGTTTTAAAAATTATTTTTGAATCATAAATTAAATAAATGCTATCAATTATGCTAAACGAAACATTTATATATGAAGTAGGGATGGCAAAATCCTGGGCTTGGGCCGAGCCAACCCGTGTTAGGCCCGATATTAGTTACTGAATGAACAACCTGAGTCCTGGTCAGGCTAACCTGAGCATGAAGTTTGAGTTTTAATCTTAATAAATTTTTTTATTATACAAAAAATAATTAATTAATTATTATCAAAGAAATAATAATAGTCAGTGTTATGTTTATATATTATTTTACATAATATATTATGAATTATATATCATTTTATACAATATAGATATTCAACATTGCGTAATATAATTCAAACTTGGGCCAATTTTTTTTTCCTAACCCGAAGCCCAAGCCCGATTGAGGCATTACCTCAAGTCAGGCCAACCTCGACCGGGGTATTTTTGGCATCCCAAAAATTTATTAGATGGGAAATCAGGTGACCAACTATTTTTTTCTAGTTTTTTAATTTTTTTTATTTGGATGATGTTGTTGTGTGCTGATTTTGATAAGGGATGATCTTGTGTGTTGATTTGGACAAGGGTGGAGATTTTGTGTGAGAAGATTGCAGTAAAAGGTTGGGTGCGAATCGGTCCAGCAATACCGACAAAGGAGCGAGAAAAAAAGAGAAGAAGAGAATAATATTTTTGTCTTTACTTTGTTTATACCATATCTAAAAACGATTTTCTTGAGGGAACATAACAACGAGTGAGAATATGTCATTTCGCCAAACTTGGGCGGGAAGATGTCGTTCTCCCCACAATAAACAACTAAAATCTGATCATTTCTAGACAATAGAGTATCCAGGATTCCTTTAATCTATTAATTTCTCTTTTGAATCACATTATAACTCAGAAAAATATATTACATTTATCGAAATTCTTAATACAAGAAAAATGTCATGTTTGTTTCATTCTTTCCATAAGCTAATAAAATTCTTGTTACAGTGATGATTTTAAAAGGTCACTAATCAAATGAAAGAGAAACTAGTACATATACACATGCATACGTGGGAAATATAAGGGTTATTTTATTTGCCCTCTAAGTAAATGACGTTCCAATGATTGTCAGGAAGCATTAAATATCCCCTAAATATATCATAAAGCGTCTATAAATATATAAAAAAAAAAAAAAAAAAAAAAAAAAAAAAAAAATCAAAAAATATATCTGAAAAAATCAAAACCTCCATAAACAGAGAGGTATTTAATAGTTTCTGATAATCACTGAGTCCTTTTTTACTTAAGCGTTACTAAGGGATGAAATAAACCCAAATATAAAGAGTTTTAAGGGGAGGTTGTTCAGGCGGAGGCGGCCATTTCAATCTCATATTTCTTCATGATAGGAGTTGCACCTATCATCAAGGAAGATTCCGTAGCCATTGAAGAACTGAAATCAAAAGTGCTTCCATTCCATGAAGGACCTGCAGGTTGCTCAGACCCTGGAGATCCCCCCAAAATGTGCCTAAATGGATACGAAGGAGTAGGAATATCTATTCCTCCCTCCAACATTTTCACCACAACACTCATCACAGGCCTTGCTTCAGGCTTATCCTGAACACACCATAGAGCTACTTTCATCATCCTCTCTGCCCTCTCTCTGTCATTCTCCTCAACTCCAAGTGCTATCGTTGTCTCCTGCAATTCTCCATTTTCAAACTTTTTCCACACCCACTTTGGGAGCCACTCTTGGCTTTCTGGAAGATTTATTTCCAGGTTCCTTCTCCTGCCTATGATTTCGAAGAGCAGCATTCCGAAGCTGTAAACATCACACTTGAAAGTTACAGGATATGGCATCCAGAGCTCTGGTGCAGCATAGCCTGGTGTTCCCCTTCTTCCTGTCATGGTTATGTGAGTGTTTTCCCTGTTGCAGAGCTTGGCCAAGCCAAAATCGGCTACCTTGGGGAAGAATTTTGCATCCAGGAGAATGTTTTCAGGTTTGATGTCATAGTGTATGATTCTCTGCTGGCATTCTTCATGCAAATATGCAATTCCTTTGGCTGTGCCAATAGCAATGTCATGAAGTTTATCAAATCCTAAGACCTTGTTTTCGCGAAACAAGTACTTGTCGAGTGAGCCATTCCCCATGTACTCGTAAACTAGAGCTATCAGGTCTCTTTCGAAGCAGAAACCATGGAGTCTAAGCAGATTGAAATGATGGATTCTTCCAATTGTGCTTACTTCTGCCATGAACTGTTCCTCTATACTCTTATAAGAGTTCGCATGTAAAACTTTCACTGCCGCAACGGTTCCATTACTGAATATCCCTTTAAATACGGCTCCAAAACCTCCTGAACCTAGAAAGTGGGTGAAATTTTCAGTTGCAATCCTGAGCTGCTGAGAAGTAAACCTGATAGGCTTTTCCCTTTCTATATCATTCAGGAATTTATCCATGGTCAGTGTGAGAAATCGGTCGTCAGGTGTGACGGTGCTGCTATCCGTCTGTGCCCTTCTCTGGCATATTACCGCTATGATAAACATCTTTATAACAAATACTACTGCAGAGTGTAAGAAAACAATCACAAATCCATAACTTGTCACTCTTTTTACGAAAAGACTAACCGTATGTAACCATCAAGGAACCAAAACTGGTATTTACGTTTGAATTTAAGGATTAGAGATGTATTTTTGGCACATATTGTAAGATCAAACAGTTATCATGTCTGCAGTTTTGATCTCAGAGGGCAGCACGACAAGGAAAACAAATCTTAAAAGAACGAAAAAATCTACTTTGTAATTTAACAAGCTTTCATTTATTTTAAGCTTCATTTAGACTTATAATTCAATCTCTTCCCCCAATGAATAAAAGATTGAAGGCTTTTGGAAGGAAAATCTTACCTATACCGACTACGATGATAGCTGCTTTCGCCCCTGAAGCACCACCATCTTCACTCGCAGTTGACATTTGACAATCAGCAGGAGATAGAATACAAGAGAACCAAAAATCGGCGGTTTAACCTTAATGGGAGGAGTGGTGGCAGAACTTCTCAGCAATTATAGAATAACTTATTTTATAATCGACAAAAAAGGCAACTTCACATCTTGTTCGTGTAAACAAAACTATCTCTTCCTTTGACCATGAATATTCCACCAAAACTCCGTGTGGGGCTCGCCTGGTGACTAAATTACGAGGGCGGCCATGAACAGACAAAGAAATAAAAAGTTTTGTTAGAATACTAAATTGGCTAACTCATGCACAGGACAATGCAACTGGGGCCCTGGCTTCCTTATCCTATACGAAATGCACAAGCATAACTCACAGTTCAAGCACATTGAAATCAACTATAAATGAGGAAGGAAATAGATAAGAAACTGCTAGCATCATTTAATAACAAAAGCTGAAGGAAACAAAAGAGATGAAAATCTATATAAAGGAAGTTATAATTTTTTAACTTTTTACTCAAAACTCTTCAAATGAACAAACAATTTATAATAATTTCTAAAGAGTTGATATATATAACAAACTTTCATGTTGAAATTTCATTCAACAAGTGTAATAGATCAGTTGAATATTCCTGAAGTGAACGAAGGATGAATCAACTTCACTCCACAGTGATATGCTGAAGGAGATTGAACTTTGAATTTACATCTTGTTTTCTTTGAGACCAACAGAAAATACATGTTTATGTTTTTCTTGCTGAATCAGATGATAAATTTTGTCCAGTGTAAAAACTATAGAATATAGAACTCCCCTCTGAAGCCAAATTATAATAAACATTTATGGAAAGATAGAAGAGTTTTGGAGGGAAGTTCTTTAGAAGATTTAGGTGGAGGTAGCAATTTCAATCTCGTATTTCCCCATGATAGGAGTTGCACAAGTGAACGAAGATCCTGTAGCCATTGAAGAACTCAAATCAAAAGTGCTTCCGCTTCCTGGGACATAGGTATCTGCTGGTAGCTGAGGCCCTGGAGATGCCACCAAAACATGTCTAAATGGGTACAAAGGAGTAGTAATCTCTACCACTCCTTCCAATATTTTAACCACAACACTCATTGACATGGTTATATGAGTGTTTTCTCTGTTGCAGAGCTTTGCCAAACCGAAATCAGCTACATTGGGAAAGAAATTTGCGTCCAAGAGAATGTTTTCTGGTTTTTTATCGTAATGTACAATTCGTTGTCGGCACTCCTCGTGCAAGTAAGCAATGCCTTTGGCTGTGCTATCTGCAATCTCATGAAGTTTCTCGAATCCTAAGGCCTTGTTTTTGTGAAACAAGTACTTGTCAAGCGAGCCGTTCCCCATGTACTCATAATTTCATAAACCAGAGCTCTCGGATCTTTCTCAAAGCAGAAACCGTAGAGTCGAACCAAATTAAAATGATGAATTCTTCCAATTGTGCCCACTTCTGCCTGTTCTTCCATTTTCTTATCTGAGCTCCCGTGTAAAACTTTCACTGCCACAATTGTTCCATCACTGATTATCCCCTTATATACAGCTCCGAAACCTCCTGTTCCCAGCAAGTTGGTGAAATCATCTGTTGCAATCCTAAGCTTCTGAGAAGTAAACCTGATAGGCTTTTCTCTTTCCATATCATTCAAGAATTTATCCATGGTCGGTGACTCAGTTTGAAGTCTGTGACAGTGCTGCTGTCCTTTCGTGCTTTATTCAGGCATGCAATGATGATCATTATAACAATAATTACTGCAGAAGTGTGAAAAAAACAATCACAAATCCATAAAATTTTCACTCTATTGTGAACATATTAAGAGTACATAACCAAACCACGGCAAAAAACAAAGATGTGTTATATTTTGATCTGAGAGGCAAAATGAAAAAGAAAACTGAAAATCTGAAAACTTTTCACTCGTTTTGTCGCAGTTGAACAGGTTTTCATATCTTTTTGTAGATTTTATTACCATATAAAACCTATACCTTATAAGCTTCATTTAGACTTAAAATTCAATCCCTTCCTCTAAATGAATAAAATTCAAATGCAACCTAGAGGAAAAATCTTACCTATAGCTGCTATGAGAACAACTGCACCCAAAGTTGAAATACCTTCTAATTCATGAGAACAAAGAACAGATAACTAACCTTGGTGCCATGCGAGGCGGTGGAACTTGTAAGGAATAAGAGAACCACCAAATATCGACAAAAGAGAAAACTTCATGTTGTGTGTCAGTGTACTAAGTTCAGCAGTCATTGCATTCTGTGACCAATTATTCCCATGCAAATGTAATCTTTTCCTTTGTACCATGAACATGCTTATTACAAGGGCAGGCAACAACAGAGAAATAAATTAGAAATCTATTACAATAATAAATCGACTCATTTATCGGACAATCCACCTGTTTCCCTCGCTTCTTGTCCTCTCTGAAATACACAAGAATATTACAGTTTAAGCCATTGAAACCAACGACAAATGATTAGCTGGGATCAGTCTTACAACTTCTCCAAATAATATATATTTCAAAAGTCTTAATTGATCCATCATAGACATGGGAAGAAAGATAATTTGACATGATTATTGATAAGTGTAAGAGGGAATACAAAAAAGAAAAACAAGCATTAGAAAGATGACCCACTACATTAATAACTAATCTGAAATGGTTTTAAACAAAAGAATTGTTTCAAGTCTCTGAAGATTCAATATATATTCTGCTTTACATATTCAATAATCAGGTTTTCTTCATGACGTCGTAATTTCAATCTCATATTTTTGCATGATAGGAGTTGCCAAAGGAGGAGAGGGCTCAGTCAATGCGTGAGGGCTTTCTTGAAAGCTCACGTTGGCAGCAAGATCTGGAACAGGGGATTGTGTCATCAAGTGTGGAAATGGGTTCTTTGGAGCTGGGATCTCCAACCCTTCTTCTAGCATCTTTACCACAACACTAATGCAGGGCCTTGCCTCTGGTTGATACTGGACACACCACAAAGCAACCATCACCATCCTATGAGCTGTGTCTCTATCTTTCTCCTCAATTCGACATACTAACATCATATCATGAAACTTGCCTTTTTCCAATTTCTTCCAAACCATTTGGGAAACCATTCCTGACTTTCTGGCAGGTTCACATCCATGTTTCTTCTCCTTCCTAATATCTCAAACAAAAGCATTCCGAAACTGTAAACATCGCATTTGTGAGTCACAGGAAATGGCATCCAGATTTCTGGTGCAGCATACCCAGGAGTTCCCCTGCCTCCTGTAAGTGTCATATGTGTTATTTCCCTGTTATAAAGCTTAGCAAGTCCAAAATCCGCTATTTTTGTGCACAACTTTACATCCAGAAGAATATTTTCAGGCTTGATGTCATAATGAATTATTCGTTGTTGGCAGTCTTCATGCAAATATTCAATACCTTTGGCAGTGCCAATAGCTATGTTGTGCAATGTCTCCCAATCTGCGTTTTTATCGCTGTGAAATAGAAGACGATCCAGAGAACTGTTCTCCATGTACTCGTAAACAAGGGCGCGCAAGTCTCTGTCAAAGCAAAAGCCATAAAGCTTGACAAGATTAATATGGTTGGTTCTCCCTATAGTGCTCAGTTCTGCCAGAAATTGGTCCTGAATTTTCCTGTCCGAGCTCCCATTTAAAACTTTTACGGCCACCAATATGCCAACAGGTAGGATACCTTTATAAACTGCACCTAAACCACCTGCTCCCAGAAAATGTGAGAAATTGTCTGTAGCAATCCTTAGTTGATGAGAAGAGAATTGGATAGGCTTATCAATCTCATTCAGGACCCTGTCAATTTCTACCATCCTAGACTTGGTGTCTCCTGGCCTCAAAATACATCCTGCACCTGCTTCTGCAGAAGAGCTGTGAATGCCCTCGAACGCCTTCAGGAAGATTACGATCACTGCAGATTTAAAATGGTAATTTATATGCACAGAAATCGATCCAAACAACAATTTTTCAACCAGAAAAAAGCAGCAATCAGAACAAGGTATATCTTGTAACTTACATAGAAAAATTATCAATGCAGATATTCCAGCGTCCAACATCAGCAGATACGAACTAGGATTCAATGTCTGGAATCTGACGGAAGAAAATTGTCTGAGGAACACCTGGTAAAGTGGATAAGGCTTCTTATACAAGTGTACTATCGGTGGAGGATATTCTGCATTTAATGGAATCAAAAGTCAAAACCAAATTAAAAAACTAAAATTTGGACAACTGTTAAACGTACTTTTTCTTACTTGAGACTTTAATTATTGTTAATTTTCTTTTTCTTGTCAGGAATTGATCCTCAAACAACCTGGTGGTAGACTGGAAGTTTCAAAGATATATTTATATACAAAAGGCTGGACCAACGAAATTGGCCGGATTTGGCCTGACTTTAGAAGCAAAAATATTGGGCACTATATATCAACATCATTTCGAACATATCCGAATTTATCTGCGTAGCAAATTCCATTTGGGTCTGGCTTGAATTATGCTCAACCTTGTCTTCTATATGCTATCTTCATTGACCGTGTATGTAATTCATGCAGCAGGAACAAATTCTACTAACTTTTCTGCAGCATTTTAGACTAATTTCTGGAAAACAAAATTTCAGTAACCCCACATGCTGGGGATATTCCTCACACATACTTAGAATATCCCTTATCCCACCCATTGTGAAGGAAGAAGATAAGCTGATTTGGAGTGCCCAATGGCGCCAGTCAAACATCTAGATTAAGAGATCCTCACTTTCCATCACACTGACATTAAAATGGTTAAGAAATGGTAAAATCAATAGAGGAACAAGAAGACTAGAAAATTTGTTCCTTGCAAACTATTGCTTTTACTGAGAGAGAAGGAAAAAGGAATACAAATTACATCAACAATACATGCCCACAACCTAGCAGTATCCTAACTTAGATTGCAGCTTAATGGAGTACATGAACAAAACCATGGCATGAAAATTTAACTGATAATTAAATTACATGACTCGTATCCTAGTGCACTACCAGCTGCTGCAGTAGGTAGAGAACTGCAAAGTGGCGAACAATCAGATCCCCAGACGTCTGGACAAGCTCCCTTCAAGTATTCGGATCAACACCACTATCCAATATATTAAATATGATAGATATAGTATACAAAGAGACTCGGCTCAAATCTTCACTTGATGTTAAAATCTGCATCCAAAGTCCAAAGAATTGCAGTGTCAGTAAACCATTCAATAATCATCCCCGGCAAATGAAACATGCAAATATTATATTACCAGCCCAACAGGTATGTTAAACATTCTGTACTTTGTTTGACATTTCTTTTGCTTTTCCAACTTCCTTTTCCTGTCATAAGAGATTTAAAAATGGCATCAAGAACAAATAAATGCATCAACAAATCAACCAAGGAAACAACTTCACTTCCCATCAATCAAGAAATAGAAAAAACTGTCACAAACAATGGTCAAAATTTTAAGCCCTGAAAATATTAACATAGAATAGCAATTTTTTCATATTAGGAAAGAAGCAATCTTCAACACAAAACGCAATTCGCCACATTCCATAAGATAATTAATATACGGTGTAATTTCATTTATTTTTTTACCTTCTGTGTTGTTTTTGAATTTTTGGCCTGACCTATCAAACAGACCTGGTCTGACTTTTTAGAACAGACTATTAACATAGCCAATCCAGATCCTGACATGATGCAATACAGAATCAAGGCAAATTGTCTAATCAGTACAAAGTTTCCATTTAATATTTTATTTCTTGATACACCCAGGCAACGGATTACTAATTTGAATCCCTTGCCAGAGATTGGAATCGAGATCTAGCAGGTATATACCCTTCCATATCTCACCAAAATCAACATTCCCATGTCCAGCCTAAGACCACAATAGATGCGACTTATGTTTATGAATACAATATACAAGGTCCTTTAAAATATTCAGCCAAAGACTCCAGGTCAAAACCAAGCTGTAGGGCATCAACTAATTGACTAAAGATGCTATACAGATAAAGTAAAACAAAAATAAAATAAATAAAATACTGTTTTGCAGAGAATTGAAGAGAAGAAACTTCATCACTAGGTCCATGTTGCAAACCAACTTAAGAGAGAATTTAATCAAGTAAAATAAAAATTTGCAGAGGCACAGTCACAGATATGAAAGAACTTTAGACATGCAGAATCTCTCCTTAATAGTGACCTGAAAAAAAAAAATGGCTCATTCTTTGGTCTATTTGAGAGAGTGAGAGAGAGGAAGAGCCAAAAACTGAGGGAAAATAACAAGGCTTGAAGTTAATTTGTGAATTCTTGATGTTCAACTTGAGAAAAAACATAATCAAAATCATCTGGGAGAGCTGAAATCCTTTGGCACAACCTCAGATGGTTAATGCTACTAGTGACACCACGGCAAAAAACAAAGATGTGTTATATTTTGATCTGAGAGGCAAAATGAAAAAGAAAACTGAAAATCTGAAAACTTTTCACTCGTTTTGTCGCAGTTGAACAGGTTTTCATATCTTTTTGTAGATTTTATTACCATATAAAACCTATACCTTATAAGCTTCATTTAGACTTAAAATTCAATCCCTTCCTCTAAATGAATAAAATTCAAATGCAACCTAGAGGAAAAATCTTACCTATAGCTGCTATGAGAACAACTGCACCCAAAGTTGAAATACCTTCTAATTCATGAGAACAAAGAACAGATAACTAACCTTGGTGCCATGCGAGGCGGTGGAACTTGTAAGGAATAAGAGAACCACCAAATATCGACAAAAGAGAAAACTTCATGTTGTGTGTCAGTGTACTAAGTTCAGCAGTCATTGCATTCTGTGACCAATTATTCCCATGCAAATGTAATCTTTTCCTTTGTACCATGAACATGCTTATTACAAGGGCAGGCAACAACAGAGAAATAAATTAGAAATCTATTACAATAATAAATCGACTCATTTATCGGACAATCCACCTGTTTCCCTCGCTTCTTGTCCTCTCTGAAATACACAAGAATATTACAGTTTAAGCCATTGAAACCAACGACAAATGATTAGCTGGGATCAGTCTTACAACTTCTCCAAATAATATATATTTCAAAAGTCTTAATTGATCCATCATAGACATGGGAAGAAAGATAATTTGACATGATTATTGATAAGTGTAAGAGGGAATACAAAAAAGAAAAACAAGCATTAGAAAGATGACCCACTACATTAATAACTAATCTGAAATGGTTTTAAACAAAAGAATTGTTTCAAGTCTCTGAAGATTCAATATATATTCTGCTTTACATATTCAATAATCAGGTTTTCTTCATGACGTCGTAATTTCAATCTCATATTTTTGCATGATAGGAGTTGCCAAAGGAGGAGAGGGCTCAGTCAATGCGTGAGGGCTTTCTTGAAAGCTCACGTTGGCAGCAAGATCTGGAACAGGGGATTGTGTCATCAAGTGTGGAAATGGGTTCTTTGGAGCTGGGATCTCCAACCCTTCTTCTAGCATCTTTACCACAACACTAATGCAGGGCCTTGCCTCTGGTTGATACTGGACACACCACAAAGCAACCATCACCATCCTATGAGCTGTGTCTCTATCTTTCTCCTCAATTCGACATACTAACATCATATCATGAAACTTGCCTTTTTCCAATTTCTTCCAAACCATTTGGGAAACCATTCCTGACTTTCTGGCAGGTTCACATCCATGTTTCTTCTCCTTCCTAATATCTCAAACAAAAGCATTCCGAAACTGTAAACATCGCATTTGTGAGTCACAGGAAATGGCATCCAGATTTCTGGTGCAGCATACCCAGGAGTTCCCCTGCCTCCTGTAAGTGTCATATGTGTTATTTCCCTGTTATAAAGCTTAGCAAGTCCAAAATCCGCTATTTTTGTGCACAACTTTACATCCAGAAGAATATTTTCAGGCTTGATGTCATAATGAATTATTCGTTGTTGGCAGTCTTCATGCAAATATTCAATACCTTTGGCAGTGCCAATAGCTATGTTGTGCAATGTCTCCCAATCTGCGTTTTTATCGCTGTGAAATAGAAGACGATCCAGAGAACTGTTCTCCATGTACTCGTAAACAAGGGCGCGCAAGTCTCTGTCAAAGCAAAAGCCATAAAGCTTGACAAGATTAATATGGTTGGTTCTCCCTATAGTGCTCAGTTCTGCCAGAAATTGGTCCTGAATTTTCCTGTCCGAGCTCCCATTTAAAACTTTTACGGCCACCAATATGCCAACAGGTAGGATACCTTTATAAACTGCACCTAAACCACCTGCTCCCAGAAAATGTGAGAAATTGTCTGTAGCAATCCTTAGTTGATGAGAAGAGAATTGGATAGGCTTATCAATCTCATTCAGGACCCTGTCAATTTCTACCATCCTAGACTTGGTGTCTCCTGGCCTCAAAATACATCCTGCACCTGCTTCTGCAGAAGAGCTGTGAATGCCCTCGAACGCCTTCAGGAAGATTACGATCACTGCAGATTTAAAATGGTAATTTATATGCACAGAAATCGATCCAAACAACAATTTTTCAACCAGAAAAAAGCAGCAATCAGAACAAGGTATATCTTGTAACTTACATAGAAAAATTATCAATGCAGATATTCCAGCGTCCAACATCAGCAGATACGAACTAGGATTCAATGTCTGGAATCTGACGGAAGAAAATTGTCTGAGGAACACCTGGTAAAGTGGATAAGGCTTCTTATACAAGTGTACTATCGGTGGAGGATATTCTGCATTTAATGGAATCAAAAGTCAAAACCAAATTAAAAAACTAAAATTTGGACAACTGTTAAACGTACTTTTTCTTACTTGAGACTTTAATTATTGTTAATTTTCTTTTTCTTGTCAGGAATTGATCCTCAAACAACCTGGTGGTAGACTGGAAGTTTCAAAGATATATTTATATACAAAAGGCTGGACCAACGAAATTGGCCGGATTTGGCCTGACTTTAGAAGCAAAAATATTGGGCACTATATATCAACATCATTTCGAACATATCCGAATTTATCTGCGTAGCAAATTCCATTTGGGTCTGGCTTGAATTATGCTCAACCTTGTCTTCTATATGCTATCTTCATTGACCGTGTATGTAATTCATGCAGCAGGAACAAATTCTACTAACTTTTCTGCAGCATTTTAGACTAATTTCTGGAAAACAAAATTTCAGTAACTCCAAATGCTGGGGATATTCCTCACACATACTTAGAATATCCCTTATACCACCCATTGTGAAGGAAGAAGATAAGCTGATTTGGAGTGCCCAATGGCGCAAGTCAAACATCTAGATTAAGAGATCCTCACTTTCCATCACACTGACATTAAAATGGTTAAGAAATAGTAAAATCAACAGAGGAACAAGAAGACTCGAAAATTTGTTCCTTGCAAACTATTGCTTTTACTGAGAGAGAAGGAAAAAGGAATACAAATTACATCAACAATACATGCCCACAACCTAGCAGTATCCTAACTTAGATTGCAGCTTAATGGAGTACATGAACAAAACCATGGCATGAAAATTTAACTGATAATTAAATTACATGACTCGTATCCTAGTGCACTACCAGCTGCTGCAGTAGGTAGAGAACTGCAAAGTGGCGAACAATCAGATCCCCAGACGTCTGGACAAGCTCCCTTCAAGTATTCGGATCAACACCACTATCCAATATATTAAATATGATAGATATAGTATACAAAGAGACTCGGCTCAAATCTTCACTTGATGTTAAAATCTGCATCCAAAGTCCAAAGAATTGCAGTGTCAGTAAACCATTCAATAATCATCCCCGGCAAATGAAACATGCAAATATTATATTACCAGCCCAACAGGTATGTTAAACATTCTGTACTTTGTTTGACATTTCTTTTGCTTTTCCAACTTCCTTTTCCTGTCATAAGAGATTTAAAAATGGCATCAAGAACAAATAAATGCATCAACAAATCAACCAAGGAAACAACTTCACTTCCCATCAATCAAGAAATAGAAAAAACTGTCACAAACAATGGTCAAAATTTTAAGCCCTGAAAATATTAACATAGAATAGCAATTTTTTCATATTAGGAAAGAAGCAATCTTCAACACAAAACGCAATTCGCCACATTCCATAAGATAATTAATATACGGTGTAATTTCATTTATTTTTTTACCTTCTGTGTTGTTTTTGAATTTTTGGCCTGACCTATCAAACAGACCTGGTCTGACTTTTTAGAACAGACTATTAACATAGCCAATCCAGATCCTGACATGATGCAATACAGAATCAAGGCAAATTGTCTAATCAGTACAAAGTTTCCATTTAATATTTTATTTCTTGATACACCCAGGCAACGGATTACTAATTTGAATCCCTTGCCAGAGATTGGAATCGAGATCTAGCAGGTATATACCCTTCCATATCTCACCAAAATCAACATTCCCATGTCCAGCCTAAGACAACAATAGATGTGACTTATGTTTATGAATACAATATACAAGGTCCTTTAAAATATTCAGCCAAAGACTCCAGGTCAAAACCAAGCTGTAGGGCATCAACTAATTGACTAAAGATGCTATACAGATAAAGTAAAACAAAAATAAAATAAATAAAATACTGTTTTGCAGAGAATTGAAGAGAAGAAACTTCATCACTAGGTCCATGTTGCAAACCAACTTAAGAGAGAATTTAATCAAGTAAAATAAAAATTTGCAGAGGCACAGTCACAGATATGAAAGAACTTTAGACATGCAGAATCTCTCCTTAATAGTGACCTGAAAAAAAAAATGGCTCATTCTTTAGTCTATTTGAGAGAGTGAGAGAGAGGAAGAGCCAAAAACTGAGGGAAAATAACAAGGCTTGAAGTTAATTTGTGAATTCTTGATGTTCAACTTGAGAAAAAACATAATCCAAATCATCTGGGAGAGCTGAAATCCTTTGGCACAACCTCAGATGGTTAATGCTACTAGTGACACACATAACACACCTCAAGAATATCCCAAACAGAAAAAAAAAAAAGGTTTTTATCCTATCTTAGAATTGACTATCATATTCTTGTTTCAATGCAAGTGATTGAAAAAATACTTTGTATATTATGTAGAGTGCATCTTTGAGGCTTTAATTTATAATCAAGAATCGTTAAAATAGATATCTAATTTATTGAGATTTATATTCTTTTTGGTGCTCAGCATTTCTTAGGGATTGGGGAAATTCCTATATTAGTGTATAATAGATGCGAAGGGTAACTAGTTTAATCTTCCAATAACATTGTAATGTTTGTCACTTTCTCTTCTGTTCACTCTCGGTAATCTCTTCGATTTTCCAATGCAGCAGAAATTAATGTAGCATTTGTCACACCTCAAAGCATAAACTTGTTTAGAATATTTGTTAAAGATTGCAAATATATACTACTAAAACATGAATTGAAATCATAATACTGTACTACTAAAACATAAATTACAAAATAAGAAATCAAAACAATAATTTTTTTAACTAAATCTCTATTAATTTATAACTTCCTTATAGTAATAAAATTAGTTTATCCTACCATTATAACTATAGAGAGGTTTTTCTATATAATAGGATCCCTAATGTGTGAATTCCAGTGGGAAAAAAACTCTGAATATTCAACTAGCTTTATAAACTGAGATTGAGCAACCACTACAGAATGATATTTTTTCTTTTCTATTTTTTTTATGGGAAGACATAACCAAAAGATTTTCTTATAATGTACTAAAAAACAAACCAAATGATTTCATGTCCAATTTCACAAAACACACAACACAACAGATTTCAAGGAGCAATCATTGAATTCAAAGCAAAATCTCATAAAGACATGATTAAGAAATGAAATGAATTTTTCCCTACCAACAACAAAGGAAAAGGCAAAGTAATAAGTATGATAACTAAAGCAATTGCTTTTAAGCTACTTCACAAGTATCTTCAACAGATGTTCATTGATACATACTTTACCCACCAAACCTAAAAACAGTATTTTAAAGCAACTAAAGGATGTAGTGCTTAGATATCATACAATCTCCCACTCCCCACCAAACAAAAGCCTTAAGAGAAACAGGAAAAATTTAAAATGCGTACTTCAACAAATATTACTTACTTACATTGCTCAGAAATAAAAAACAAAACAAAGAAATTACGATAATCCATTCAATCAAGCTTACCAATCCCTTGTTCTCATAATAATCGTCCAATGCCCACTGATACTTTGACTGATTTAATCCAAACCAACGAGCCAAATGATCATCCAAACTCGAATGAGCTGCAAAAGACCCCAGTTACACTTTATTAATTACATAGAATAATGTTGGAACGGGTAAAATAATACAATATCACTTACTTTACTAAAAATCAAATAGTCCACCTAATTACTGATAACATGAACTTGAAATCCCAGATTTTTCACCATTATGAAACTAAAGATAACTAAAACCAGCACTAACTAAACTAAGCCTAACACAACCCTTCTGCTGAAATGAGCAGAGCAAGAGTGAAATGAGCAGAGAAATGAGCAGAGCACTACAATTAAAGTTCATCTGCTCAAGAATTTCGCTCACTTTCGATTAGTGTCATTTTTTTTTTTTTCTGTTCATTTCAATCATCACAAACCCATAAAGAGAACACATAAACAAGATCCATTGCTATTCTACTCTTTCCAATTCATTTCCATAACTTTCCTCCACTTTCTAAGTAACCAAACAACAAAATTTAAAACCAAGCACAAACTGAAACATAAAACTATACCAACCACAAAAAAGAAAACCAAGCAAAATTCATTCCAAAAAAAAATTCATTATCACTAAAGTACGAATTTAAAAAAGATCCCATTGGTTTCCAAAACCATCAAAAACTTCTCTTAAACTATGATAATCATCATAAATTCCCCTAAGATCACCCCAAACCTCTTTAAATCTCATCAAATTAACCATAAACCTCTCTCACAAAGGGACCTATTTGTCAATTTTCCAAACCATAAGGGTCCATCAAACTGTATCAAACCAAACATAAGCAACTATGAAAGAAACTCAAACAATTCTTCCTAAAAACTCTTCATTTCAACCCCAAAACAAACAATAAACAAAGATCCAGAACCCGAAACAACCCACATGCAAAAACATCAAAACAAACAACAACCAAACACAGCCCACTAAAAACAACATACCGTTTTGCACTTTGGTGACGGCATTCTTGAAGAATCCCAAAGCAGACCCATTTTCCACAGTAACAGGCTTCTGAAACTGCTGGGGCGGAGGCTGGACGGGCGGCGCCGCCACTTTCTGTGGCGACTCGAAAACTGGCTGGTCGACGACAGGTTTGGGAGTGGAGGGCGGCGTTACGAAGACGGTGTAGGGGCCGATTTTGCCGATCATGGGCGGAGGAGTGGTGGGGTCCTTGTTGATTGGCATTGTGGAAAATGAAAGACAGTGAGAGAGAGAGAGAGAGAGAGTAAAAGAGAGTGAGAATGAGAATGAGAGTGTTCGGCGCTGGAGAAAGAAGGATATAAAGGCTAATTATATTTAGCCCTTGAGGTTTGAGATCTATTGGAACACATCATAGATTTGAGAATCCATCAAACGCCCCCTCATTTTCTTGGGGGACCTTTTATCTTTAAGGTACCATTGATAGTCTTAACATGTATTCTTAATTAATATATTATTGATCTAAGCATTTTACGGTAGGGGTGTTCAAAGAAATACAGAAACCAAACCAAACTAGTTTTCCGGATAGTCGATTCAGTTTCAGTACAAAGAAATACAAAAATCGATTTTTCAGTTCGGTTACTAGTTTACGAGATTATGGGAACCGATTAACCGAAACTGGTTTATTATAAAAATAATTAAATATAAAATCAAAACAATCAAAATCAAAATATATAAACCAGTTTATTATAATAATAATAAATTATAAAATAAAATCAATAAAACAGATTTATTATAAAAATAATAAAATATAAAACAGATTTAAATTAGGAAAAAATCAAAATAAAAAATAAGTTTGAGGGAAAAAAAGTTCAAAACTGATTAACTGATTTTTATTATCCGGGTAATCAAAAAACCGGTTTTCCCCTTAACCGATTCAGTTTCAATTCAAGAAAATTCCTTAATCAAAAAACCAGTTCGATTCAAAAAAATCAGTTAATCAGTTATGAACACCCTTACAGAGGAAAATAATTAAGAAGTAAAGAAAAAAGAATGAAAAAAAAAATCATAAAGAAAAATAAGACCGGTAAATCTTTTTAAAAAATTTAAAATCTTAGATTTACTAAGAAATGTCACTTACAACACTTAACACTAATTATGCATAATTTTTTGAAAGAGTTGTTTTAATACGTGTTTTTACCATACACGATGAATTGATCATATATATAACTTAAAGGTAATGGGTCAGGTAAGTCTCTTGTGGTTATTCCTTATCAGTAGTCGTGGGGATTCGAACTCAGAATCTCTTGAGTAATACACTCAAGAATCTCAAACAAACAGCCAAACTACTAGTTTATTGATCATCTTTATATATTATAAAATGTGTGTTTTTTGTTCGTTATGACAACTCTTATCGAAATTTTGAACCAATAGAGTACAGGGTGTTTAATAAAATAATTAAAAACCTTTGGGGGTAGAAAGTAACCAAATGAGAGTATAAAGTGAAGTAAAGTGAAGTGAACGGAGCACGCAACCCAAGTGGTTAGATTAGATCTTTGTCGTTAAGTTATTCACTTATTTTATATTTTCTTAAAAGAATTTTATTGTTTTCTTATGCTTGGAGATAAGTATATAAATGTATAATCTAAGATTAATGCAATAGTTATACTACTAACTATTGCATTAATATATGATCTGTTTATTATAATTAGTTTTATTTTAAGAATTTAGTGTCAAGCATGATTAATCTTATAGTTATTATGGATAAAATAAAATAAAATATATAAATTCAATATAAGGGGTTATTTGTTTATTTATCTAAAGTCTTAATGTAATTAAATTTAGTTGATTATAATATTTTAGGTTTATATATATATATATATATATATATATATATATAGTGTTTGGACTCAATTACAAGTCAACTAATCCTTAGGGGGAGCAATGTACGACAATTCACCGTTGCGATCATCTAGATAAATTATGTGCAAATATATTATTTAGCAGAAAATCGAACATGGGAATATAGGTTGGACCATTACAGCCCCTTTGATTCGCCTTACCGTCGTATTACCCATGTTTTCTAACTTATGTTCGTAAGTGCCTTTTATCTTAATATAACAATACATCTTAATCAATTATATCTTTTGTCAACAATACCCCTACTAAATTTATATAATATTTAAAAAAAAAAAGAATAACATAATTATTTATAATTTAAATCCATTTTTTTCCATAAACTTGAAAATTTAAAATTGTTTAAAATATGTAAAATATAAAATTATATTATATTTAATATGGACAAACATTTCAAAACACTTATTTTAAGATGTATATATATATATATATATATAAACAAACAACTCAGGACTTAAATCAAACATTTAAAAATAAAAAAAGAACCTATCAAAAGATTCAAACTTGTATATTTAAACTTATTAGTTGAAAGATTGCATTTAGCTTTCCGATAAAAACAAAAAAACACCACCTAAGTCAATCAAATGATTATCATTGATTTTATAATATTTTCAGATTAATAAAATAATAATAATAAGTTTTATCTAAAATTAATACAAAAGTTCTTAAACATTTATTTATTTTTATCCAATGTTTCAATACATTGAAAAAGGGTACATGTTAAGAACGTCATAGGACAAACATTAGCATTTTAATGTGTTGAAAATAGTGTTTTTTTTTTTTTTTTTAATATACATTGAAATAAATAATTTTTTTTTCGTTACTTTTTTTATAATATACATTGAATGATTAAGTTACTTTTTTTTTTTTTAGTTATTTCAAATAATTAAAATGATAAAGATGCATACTTTTAGAAAGTAATATTCCAACTTTTTAATCATTTGACAATTTCTAAAATCATACAAGTCTAGTAAATTCATTCCAAACCTTAAATTACAGAAACAAAATAAGAAAATAAAATTTTAATATCCCAAATAATAAATTTTCATCCCGATAAAGTTTGACCAAAATAATTGACAAAAGACTTTTGATAACCCTAATGGGGCCTCTAGGGTCTATTGAGCCTAGTTGTCACTTTCTTTAAGAAGCTTCCTGGCCTCTCTACTTTCTTCCCAACCACTCATTGTTGCTCATATTTTTTTATAGAACTTTTTATTTTGGTATTATTCTTCATATATTCTAATACATTTTTTTAACCAAATTTTACTCACACTATGATGATGTTTTGTGTTACATTTACAATCAAAAGTTTTTAAACCTGAAGAATTAAAAAAATTCCCCAGAAAAATCTATAAATTTTCATATCTTCCACCAGCTTTCAAAACCATAAAATCAACCTAAAATAAATAAATAAAACTTGCACTATAGCATTTCATAAATTTATAAGAAATTATAAACCATTGTTATGTAAATAATATAAAAACCCCAGCAGGGCTATCAGCATCACACTAGGAGCAAGTATAGATAAATAAAAAGATTCGAACTGTGTAACAATAGTAATACTATAAACATGCACATTTTTTTAACATTTTTTTTGTTGGTTTATTACAGAGATGCTGAATGAATGCAAGGGACTGAGCATAACAAGAAACTAAACCCCTAAAATATATAAGTAGCCTAAGAAGCTTTTTCTAGCAAATACAAATCTAACCTACCAACAAAAGTAGACTCCATGTCCAACATTGTGAGCAGTGATGAAGATGGGCAGTTGCAGTTACAGTATCACACAAACCTTACAAAAACGTAAACATGGTTTTCATCAATTCACTCATGGAATAGGTATTTTCATCTCCCACCCACAACCTCGTACAAGAATATCCATTACAAATGTCCCTCTCATTAGACCATTTATCTTATCTGTCAAAGAGTTTTTCAGTAACTGACCCGCATGGCGTGGTGTTCGAGTTCGACCTCCACTCACTTGTGTCACGGTTATGATAGTTTGTGGTTCGTGACGCTTTGTCATTCCTTTGCAGCAGCTTTTCGATTTTTTTTTTCGTTGATTTAATCTCAGATGACGGAAGAACTCACTAATGATAGCTCGTGGAGCTCGCTTAACATCCACTCTTCTCCTGTTTGGCCACCTAGGACTATAGTCCTTGTGCCACCTACAACACATGTACTGTGTCCCCATGCAAATCTTGGAGGTCGGCCAGGTACATTCAGTACTCTCCATGTAGGCTTCTCATCAGTAGGGTCCAGAAGATAAAGCTGGGTTGCAGAGTGAAGACCAGCTACTGATCCACCAAAGATAAGAACTCTCCCACCAGGGAGACTCACAGCCACATGGTCGAGCCTGGGAGGAGGAGCTACACCACCTGGGTTTCCAGCACCAGGCATTCCACTTCCAGTTACAGATCTCCAACAAGGTTCCTCCTCACTAAGATCCATTGTGAAGACATCACTAGAACGAAACCGTAGGGGACCACTCTTGGCTAAACCCCCAAACATCAATATTTTCCTACCACCATAAACTGATAATGTATGGCCCAACCGAGAAGGGGGAGTCCAGGCTGCTGGTATCTCTCTCCAAATAGGTTTCTCCATTGACAGATCAAGAAGAAACGTGTCACTTAAAAGTACCCCAGAGTCTGCACAACCACCAGAAACTATCAATTTGGTGCCATCAAGAGTGCAGGAGCTGTGCCATGATCTTGGAAGTGGAGGCGCCAATCCAGAGATTTCACGCCAAGTTGGAGGCTTTGCATCCAAATCCAAAACAAAGACATCATTGAGTAAGCCTTGCCTTCCACAGCCACCAAATACCACCAAATTAGACCCATTTACACATGAAATAGTATGACCCCAACGACCAGGAGGAGGAGAGCTCACTTGAACGTGCTGCCATTCTGGTTTACTAGAATTTAGGTCCAATACAAATGTGTCATTCATTGGTTGCATATTAACCCCTTCCCCACCAAAAAGAACCACCCGATTCCCAACTGCACAGGCACTAAAGTTGCACCGTGAGGGTTCAACAGCACCTCCAACTGTTAGCTTCCTCCATGCTGCAGCTTCAAGAGTAGTCAACTCCCTTGCCAGGCGACCCCAGCCCAGTCTTTTTGCACCAGGCACAGTCTCTAAAACACGAGTTGTCTCACTACCCCAGGCATTCTGGCAGACCATTCTCCAAAGGTCCTCATTTTTTGTCAGCTCATAAAGTCGCCTACAGACAGAACCAACCGACGCAATATCTCTTGGAGTCAACCATGATAGTATTTTAAGAGACAGCACCTCATCGCTCAATTGAAATATCCCACAAACTCCACGAGAAACATTTCGGTCTCCCACTGGGACAGGATGCGAATTGGAAAAAGCAGAACGAAACCAGTCAGATGCTTTTCCAGACTCCTTCAGTGAATATCCAGGCACTGGACCCAGATCAACATTTGCTTCTGTGAAGAACTGGATTCCAATAACATGAGTTACTGTGTCATCAGCTTCATATATAGGAGTCAGCCGCAATCTGTTCATCAGAGGAGATCCATCTTTCCGGAAGTTCAACAACTCACCTTGGAATTCAATACCCTCCTCAAGGCATCTCCTAATTTCTGAAACAACTGTTGAATCCACTAATGGATGTCTTCTTTTAGCAAATGGCCCTCTACATTGCAAGAAACGGCTGTAATCCAACAAAACCAGAGCACACAGAAGATACAGTCAGCATCTAATTATATAATGAACATATTAAAAATCATCACGATCATAGAGTAATTAGCAAGAAAGAATTACAAGAGAGAAAAGCAAAAGCACAATTACTCAGTTAAACTAATGCCATAGGAATGGAACAAACCATACATTATAACAGAAGGTATCAAGAGACTAACAAGCAAGACATGTAAACATCATAAAGCATGATCTACAACCAAATAAAAACTGTGACAACAAAAATTCAAATTATATGAAGCAAAAAATAAAGGTCATAGCAGCAGTTAACAAGCCAAATGTGATTAAAGGACTTCTCAAGTGGATCTAAACACATAAAATCGCAAGTGTATCCAAACACATACTTGATACGCTCCGTACATTAATACGAGAAATAGAGGCATCAAACAAGACCACTTAATCATTAATAGAAATTTAGAGGGTTACATGGTAGGATAGATAGAAGGAAACTACGGGAGATTAAGATAAGAAATATTTATAGTGAGAAGAGACAAATGATGGAAGAGCCAGAAATAAGAGAAAAAGGTGATAAAAAAGAACTAAGAGAAGATAATAATAAAAGTGGAGAACAGAAATTTAGAGGGAGAAGAAGAGAAAGAGAGGAAAGAGGGGAAAGAAATGAAAGAGATGATCAAGACCCAATTTTATTCAATCATATTCACTGCATTAAAAAACAAGTACAGCAAAGGCCTTTCTGTAATGCCAAAAGAAACCTAAATATGAGTTTTAGTTAAGAAAGCTCAACCTACTAAAAATAATTTTATCAAAAGAGATAACTTAGTAACATCAATCTTATCAGATAATAAACTAAATCTCGAAAAATTAACTTAATATCCTAAAATAATTATTAAAAAAAATAAAGCTTATGGGTTGTGGTTTATTACAATTCAAAGAAGGTGAACAAGCAGTTCACCATTCAACAAAAAAGCCCAAAAAATCAGCCACGGGACAATCAGTCAATTCATGAAACCTCACAGTAGTGGAGTAGGAAAAAACAGCATCTCTTTAATTCGTGAAATTGATGTCCATAAACACTTTATCTCATAATAAGTTTGCCTACTCCATGCAAGAATCCTCAAAAATCCTTCTATTCCTCAACATCCAGATAAGACAAAAGATTTCTATCAGCATACAATTTCAAAAAGCAGAAGCCTTGTTCCCCTCCTTCCAAAAGCACTAAGTTTATGAATGCAGAATAACCACAGGCATCCTTGGAATTCTAGCCAATAAAAATTAAATACATCAATTACATAGTGTCAAAGATGTTCATCAAAATATGATGTCTAAGTCTGAATACTTTGAAGAGTATAGTGGAGTAAATGGTAAAAACTTAAGTTTGGTTACCTGGATGTCTCTTCGAAAGTTCGCAGGAGAGTTGGAATTTAAAAGCCTTAATGGTGTGTGGTATTCTTTGATTGAGATGAAGAGAATTATTTCGAGAAAGTTATTTTCATGGCTCTCTATCTAAAACAGATTATACATGGATACTGGCAAAATTTAATACATCTCTCTCAAAATTATAGCAATACTTATAACTTCATATAACAACGAAGATATTGACAAAAGCATGGATTTCTAGATCCACTGAACAAGAATCTCGATATGCAACTAAGTGAAGCACTAACTTAGCATGTTACTAACACCTAAGATATTACAACTCGCAATCAATAAAAGTACAAATAAAAAAAGCTATACTAAGCCCACAAATAATCATAAGAAACAAAAACTGCATCACCTACCAAACACTTAGTAACATAAAACTAATAGAGACGTTTAGTATTTAAAAACAGGCCTCAGGATTGCAGATGAAGACTACTGACAACAAACTGCAATTATTACATCTTTGACTACTTAGCTTCACTCTGGCAGAAAACCTAACCAATTATCTATTATATAAATAATTCTATATTTCTATCAACAATTTATATTTACAAGTTCAGCGACACTAGAAGACAGAAACAACAGAATCTAAGAAGGAATCATAAGAACTTGCTAGGTGATAAATGCATGTTACAGAATATCAACATTCAGTTTCCAACACACCTCAAAAAAATATTAATGTTAAATTTAAAAAAATAAAAATCAATTTTCATTATCATCCTACATACAACTTCATTATCCCGAGTTTCAAGAAGATTCCGCTTTTAATTTTTGAAACAATCAATAAACATTGGGACATTGACACATCTCTGCTAGCCTAATCGTTTTAAGTCTTGTACTGCTGAATTGCTGGGCTTGATATACAATCTATATTCATGTCCCACCTTTTTTTCTTTCTTAATAGGAAACAACAAGATGTAACACGTAAGTTAATGGCCTCTAGCTGCCCAACAATAGTATTATAAGGATTGTCTCACTTGCCTCTTTCACCAAAGGGCTTGCATGCATGCTTTATTGAGTTATCAAGCTACGGAAACGGGAGAATGTAGAAGACAGTAATTTTCTTTGGGGAAGACATTCATAAAAATTTTCTTCCAAACTCTTTTAAGTTATTCATTTGCAATAAGACTCTACTAGCTTAATGAAAAATAAAAAGTGTCCAAAAGTTCTAACCTAATTTTTATATTGAGCATTTGCAATAGATCAGTACATTCCAAAATACTCATGAACATAATGCCAACTACCTAAAAAAGAATAAAAGAGAGTTGCCTCTAGTCTACCATTGCCAGGAAAATTTTCACAAACGGTTACCTAATACCAAGAAAGTGGATGACAACATATTATCGCAGCTGGACACAAAAGAAGTTCACAACTCTCACCAATCAGCAGCTCAATTATGAAATCCTTCATCTCTCAGTTTCCATGGTTAAAAAAAATAAAAAAATAAAAAAATTGTAAAAGCAAAGAAAAGCTGTTTATAGCTTATTTTTCCTTCCAAAACTTTGTCCGGTAATCAAGAAGAGGATATGTAGAACATTCTGAAGCTTGTATTCTGCTATAAAGTTAACATGGAACATGATGTTAAGAAAGTTAATATTGCACCCATAAAGATCAGTTATAAAATAAAAGAAAATCAACATCAAAGAGTCATTCTTTCTTCATATATAGGAAGCCCAAGGGAAACTGAACTTGCCACTTGGAACATATTCTACTTTGTCATGTACATTTATTGGCATGAAAATAGGTATCCTACAAAAGTATGCCAACAATAAAAGGATTTCATACCATCAGAGGCTAAGATACAACGGTAATTTATAGTTCAACACTATATCTCGAGAGTTTCCAATACCTTCATGCACGTTACAGAACAATTGAGAATGCACACCCAGGCCTATACATGGTATAAAACAATGGGTTGTTGGCACGATTCATAAATTCAGTGCATTCGAATTTAACAAAATCGGGCCTATGCAAGCCCATCGTCCATTTTATGAACGTAACACACATAATTAAGTTCCACCTCATCCAGACACTATTCTTCAATGTTTGGGCACGAACTCAAGATCAAAATTGAACAAAGGTCTACATATGAAAGAACTTCTTAAAACACATGGATATGACACACAAAAGTTACATGTTAGGGAAGGTATCAGTGTTCATATTCATGTTGGTAAGGAATGATAAATTCTCCTCATAACATCATAAATTTAATGGGAAGAGAGGTAACTATGAAAATCGATAATAAACAGATGTGAAAAGGACACCTACATATAGAAAAAGACATAGCCGTAAAAAACAATGAAAAATGCACCTAAATAACTACAGAAATTTCGTAACATGTTTTATTTATCAGTAACTTCCCTATCCTTCATATTCCATGGACTTCACCATCCTTTGACATAAAGATAGGAGGGTTCTACTTATTCATTCTCCATTTCCTTTATCAAAATAGAAAGCAAATTCAGCAAATTTTAACTAGTGTGAGTCTAGATGTTTGTCTAGATGTTTCATCAATAAGTATTGGAGGACAACACTAGTTCATTCTCCATTTTCTTGATCAAAATGGAAACCAGTTCAGCAAATTTTAATTATGTGAGTCTCGATGTTTCATCAACAAGCCCGCAAAAATGAACTGAGCCAGATAGATGGCTTCTCTGCAACCCAAAAATGATGATTACAGTTCTCCAGAATGATCCTTACAATTACGTATACCTCAGTCCACCAACTTGATAAACTTGAACTACTTTATCCTACTTGGCTACAATTAACAAGCCACAAAATGCTCCACCCATATACCATTCGTTGCCCAAAGCAAGTATATTTCTCTTCCTTTGACAGCCCTCCCCCTACCAAAAGGTTTGTTTAGTATCTACTGTGTTCATATGCCTCAACCCTTACCTTAAACATAGAACTTCACGGATCACCTCAATATATTGACAACATGTTGAAAATATCACTACCTCTATACCCCTCACACCATCATTACAAACTCTGATCAAATAACAAATATTTTCAACTTCAAATTTGTCTAGTGAAGCAATCAACCCCTCCCCCTTCCTCCATCTCCAAAAGAGAAAAGGAAGTCCCTCAGAATCTCCAGCATACTTCACAAATTTAATACCTAAATATTTTGCTATAATTCACAACCATGTTGGATGATTCTTACTGTTAAGGGCCAGATAACCATAAGAAAGATCACACAAAGTACAACTTAAAATTTCAGCATAAGCCCACCCTTCTTGGAATTTTTAGATTAAATTATCAATTATGTGTATTTACTGCACTCATATGCTTTCATCCCTAATGTTAAACATTGAATTTCATGGATGACATCAAAATATCTTCAACATGCTAACACCATAAATATCTCAACCTCTTTACTCTCACACCATCATCGCAACAACACTGATCGATTAACAAATATTTTCAACATCAAATTTGTCCACTGAAGAAACCAACCCCTCCCCATCCCCAAAGGAGAAAGAAGAAGCCCTTAAGAATCTTATCCAGCATACTTCACAAAACATTAAATACCTAAATATTTCACTATAATTCACAGGTATGTTGAATGATTCTTAGTGTTAAGGGCAATCTAACCATAAGAAAGATCACACATACTACAACTTAAAATTTCAGCATAACCCTACCCTCCTTGGAATTTTTAAATCTAAGTATCAACCATGAGCATCTTGAATACATCTTCATCACCTAAACAATTTAGAGCTACATTCCTCACAGCATCTTCAAAGATAAATCAGCAGAACCAACAAGCTCAAACGCAGTTCCGGTCATCATACTATTTATATCAATAAAAACAGCCAAAATTAACCCATACTAAAAAGAGCTTAACAGTCTCTGGTTTAGACCTAAAAAAGAACTAAATCCCTAATTTTGGCCAGCTTCAATTGAACAAACTCAATCAAACAATAACCCCTATTTCTCTACATATCAAATTAACAAAATGGCAAGATGGATATTCAAAAATCAACAAAAAAACACAATACGACCTAAAATTAAACAATAAAAAATCCGCCACATAAATTCACAGCAAGAAAACATCAAACACCTCAAAAGCATATAAAAAGAACAAAACCCTTAAAATGAATTAAACAAAACACTAACCAATTTCGACCCAGAACCTCCTCGGCACGATACCCAGTAACGGCCTCGAACACGGAATTGACATAAATAATGGGGTGGTCAGGCTCAAGCGCATCGGTGACAACGAACCCACACGGCGCAGTTTGGAACAGGTTCTCCACGGGGAAAGGGAGGGGCCCAACGGGCTCATCGTCTTCGTCGTTAAGAATGAACTCCTCGTCCTCGTCCTCACTGTGATCGGAATTACTATCCCACTCCATGAAAGAAGGCGAAAACTGAGGCGGGTTCAACCCATTTGAGAAGGGGGAAGAAAAGACGGGGGTGAAATTAAGAAGCAGAGAAAACTTTGGGGGGTAAAAGGAAAAGAAAACGTGGGGTGAGTAATGTTCGGGAGGAATTTGTTTTGGGGTGAAGCTTAAGGTGAGGAAAGGAGGACCAGCTAGCACAGAAAGAGTGATGGGCAAAGAGAGATTTTTGTAAACATGTGCGTTGTTTGCTCTTGCTTGGTGGAGAAAAATCTTGAATTTGGGTATCGGGCATCGGGTCAGGGTTTTAAGTTTGGTGCCCACGCCATGATTTTTTGGATGCAATAATTATGAGTCGTGCTAAAATGGATTTATTGTATAGCGACGAGAGAATGCGTCCCATCTCAACCGTTGGATGATGACTAAAAATTAACTCTATGTCGGTAAGTAATCGAATGGCCTAATTGGGGTGATGTTATTTGAATAATATAATTTAAGCGTTAAATTTTTATAATGCAAATTTTTAACACAAATTTGTATTAAAATAAATATGATATATAGTGATGGGAGAATGCATTCCATCTTTGCCGTTGGATTATGATTAAAAATATTAATTCAATGACAATGATCCGATGGTGTAATTGGGATTGGGGTAAACATTATTTTAATAATATAATTTATATTTAAGTTATAACACAAATTTGTTATAGAAATACTCTATCATTAATTTATAGCAATTCAATGATTTTAAAATTGTTTAGTTGATAATAAATCGCTATATTAATCCATCATTTATATAATATTGCGATGAACAGTTTGGGATAATATATGAGATATATAGCATTATTTTCATGTTTATCTAAGCTATATATTATATATTATTATCGAAGATTTATCACGTAGGGTGACACATTAATTAGGATAAGATAATATATTATTAAAATTGTTGGTGCTTGATTTTGACACCAACTACTCACACGTGTAAAATGCTAAAATGACTTAGAAGTTACATGTGATATGAGGGGATTGAATCAAATGAAAGGTGAAGAGCAATATTTAAAGTGGTTCGGATGCTCTAAAGCGAATCCTACATCCACTGCTATTGTATTAATAAGAGAGAGATCAGGTCGTGTTTCGCGAGCTGAGTTATAGTTTAGAGAGAGAGAGAGAGAGAGAGAAAGAGCTATTTTAGCGTAAAATCAGCTAATCCCCCCAAATGAGAGGGAAGTCCTCTATTTATAGTGGGAAAGTTCAAGATAATGATTATGAAAGTTGCAAATGGGTAGGTGCCGTGTAAATCATTTCTTTGCGTCCCATTGATCACCTGCCTGAGGGATTTCCTCGATTAAAGCAGGGCTTCGACACATGGGCGATCTCCAGCCGCTTACTAGCCTGGCACTCACCTGCTACACTGACAAGAGCCATGCCACTTGCGCTAGGCGCAACGTGGCTGTACCTAGATGGCACAGAACCCTTCTGAACTCTGACCATCCTTTACTGACGAGGCTCCACGTCAGTCCTACTTTTTCCGGCATAACAAAAGTCCCCTAGTTTTTAAGGTTTAAGGATCAAACCTTGAGAACTTCATAATTATGCCATGATTTGACATATCCAAATGACGCCTGGTCGAGCCGACCTGGCTATAAGGAGGTCGCAGAACATTTTTCTACGAGCAACTTGAGATGGTTTTCTTCCTCGAAGTCGATGGTCTGGATTAGACCCTAATCAATGTCGTATCGATGCACCTCTTATCTTAATCGAGGTCCGCAACCTGATTACACTTGGCATATTTCTGTTGGAGGCATGGAATCACATCGCTTTGCAACTGACATGTGACGAAGAGTGTTCTTTTCCAACGACCTCTTCAGATGTTATCCGTTGCGCTTGACAGCTAATCCATTAATGAAATGTCCTTTATTCTGACAAACGTGTCCTGTGCGCAATAAGTGCTAGTCATGCACATTAAATGCAAGACATGCCGAAACATCATTCCTTATCAGGGCATTAAATGCGGATGAGAGTGCTTTTAATGTGGAGGAGAGAATCGAGCCGTCGGTCAATCATTTCAACGGAGAGACGCAACGATTGGATTTCTCGAAGCGTGGCGGTTACTCCTTCTCGCCGATTAATGACACGTGGTCGCGATCAATGGCGAGAGACGCATTCCTCCCAAACGTCGCTTGGCTTTGGGAAGACCAATCGTCGTTTCCTCCACTATAAAACCTCAGGCTCGCCTTAAGCAATGCCACAACACTCATACTTTCAGAAAAAGCAAAAAGCTCTCGCAAGACCAGATTTTCAATCTTGCAAGTTGGTGTGCACTTTCCGTTAACAATAAGAAGTTCGACCCCTGCAGCCAAAAAGGTAAGGAAGGTCCTTCCATTGCTTTCCTTTTTCTGTTTTGTGGACAACTTAACCAGGCGATAATGGTGGGTGTTTATGGCTAGACTTCTGTAAGGAATAGGTTTTCAGGGTACGAACCATTAGGGGTGGTCCCCAAGGGCTTTTTAGGATTTTTGGAAGACACATTAGGGTTTGTTCTTCCACGTCATCGTACAAAATTTTGTACAGAGACTGAGTAATCTATACGTGTCCCTTTTTTTTTAGACTGTAGAAGAGATAGACCCTACAGCGACCAGAACAAATGAGGGGACGAGCTCGCAGGCGTAGGACCCCTCAGTGGGTCCTGCGCAAGAGATTCTGTTAGTGGCTACCCGAGAGGAAAAACATAAGGCAGTAGACCAATACGCACTTAGCGTAGACGTCTACCGATACACGTTGCATACAGCTCAGAATCCGTCAGAGGGAATGGCTGCGATCTCTGAAGCTATATTCAAATGCGGAGCACTAATTCCCTTCCATCCCTTTATCGGGTCGATCCTCGATTACTTCGGGGTCGCACCTTTACAACTGACGCCTAACGCATATATGATAGCTGTGGCTATGTATATCGTGTGCGCCGAGTACAACCTTGGCCAGCTGACTGCGCTGGAGCTTGCTTGCTCGTACTATTTAAACAAGAGCAAGGACAAAGATTCTTACTACCTCTCGAAGCAATCCACGATTGAGGGAGGCATATTCAATTACCTTAGTAATGTCGGGGCATACGAGACCAAGTTTTTCTTTTTCCATTATGATGGCATCTGCCACTTTAGGGAGCCGAGTAGGTCTTCCCTTTTTGTACTTAGTGATTTTTTTCTTTTCTTTTTGGAATTTACTTTCTAACAATCTTTCTTGTCTCTTCGCAGGAAACAAGTCGACTAGGTTGACAGATCTCTCTGACTTCAACCTAATAGTTTCATTCGATAACCTACCAGATTATTGTCGCGATGTGAAACTGCTCGTGACAACCGCAAATTTGAGGAAGTACAGCTTCTTCAATTCTGAAGCGACTTTGGAACCCTTACTTCGTAAGTGTCCGCAGTCTTTTCAAATTTTTGCTATTGCATATAGCGAACTCTTTTACTAATAGTACCTACATGCAGCGAATATGTAGCCCAGAGTGCCAAGGTCATTAAGAGAGAGAGAGGGGTTCGTTTTCCCCCCGGTCAGCACCATGGAACCAACCGAGGCTGGCCTTGGCGAAACCCCTATTGAAGGAGCGCAGGTAGGAGCACAACCACCTACCGAACAACCAGCGGAATCATCTCAGCCTACGATTGCACACCTAAAGCAGAAGACCATGGGCCAAAAGTCCAAGAAAAGAAGGGTGATGCAGCCCAAGGAATCAGAGTCGGAGTTGGAGGGCTTGGGGGTGCAGCCGTGGAGGTCGTAGTCCTATTAGGCTTTTTGCTCGGGAGGGAGCTCGAGGTGTGCGATCGAGGTTACATTGGTCCATCCGCGCAGGGGACAAAGGGAGGTCGCGGCCTCCGGGAGGAGAGAAGGAAAAGGGTTGGCTGGCGAGGTGCCATCTGCTTTAGGAGCTGACACATCAGTGTTGGACTCTATGGGTAAACTTCCAAAGAACCTGCAGTTGGTAGTGTTCACCCTTTTAGAGTGCCAACTTGCCAAAGTCTTTGAAGAGCTCGTGGCCTCCAACCTTGCGAACCTGATGATTAGGGCGGTTCAAATGCAAAGCTAAGTAAGACGGTTTGTCTTCGTTGAGGACTTTCCAATACTTTACTCTTTTCAAGGAAATAGTCTAATGCTTGCTTATTTCAATATGCAGTCTTTGCTCACCATGCACCTGGCCCAACAAAAGGTCCAACTGCAAGCTGTCAGGGGACTCTTCGAGCTGAAGGAAGAGAACACGCAGCTGAGGCGCGACTTAGCACCTACGAAAGAAGAGTTGGGCCTGAACATCGTTCAGATGAACCAGTACATGTCGGAGAGGAACTCTGCTCTTCACATGATGGACTTCTAAAAGGCCAAGCTAGAGAAGAGGGGAGATGAGCTTAAACAACTTCAAAGGATAATGGCCAGGCACCAAAGAGGCTGGCGAGAAAAAGCCAGAGCTGCGAGGGAACTCCGAGTTGGCCTTACGGGCAGAGGAAAAGAGTTCGATTGTGGGAAACTTCTAAGAAGTAGAGAAGGGCACTCGAGGTGGACCTGGAATTATCCCAAGGGTGGGTCACTTCATTAACCGAAGAGATGAAGCGACAAGAATTGGAAATTGAGAGGAAAGCTGCTAACTGGCCGATTCAGTCCATTTATGCCCTTCGGCCAAAAAACCCAACTATGGACCTCACCGACCTTCTGGATGATTACTAAAGGATCCTTGCCTCCATGGCGAGAGCCAATGATGAGGAAAAAGGTCTAGGGCCTCACCTGGAAGAGGATCAACCTAAGAAGTATGTCCAGGAGGACCCGACAGCTGACCAGGTGGTCGACGACCAACCTGGAGATACCGAGGTCACACCTTCAAGGCCTAGGGACAAAGACCAATAATCGCTTCTGCCTTTATTTTTCCCACAACCTTGCTTTTGACTGCCCTTGCATATTCTCTTGTACTTAGAAATTTATGAATAGAATGATCATTTTTTAAATTATTTGTGAGCACTTATAATCTTTCGTACTTCACAAACATTACATATGCGAATAGGGGGACGTCCTCTAGCTATTTGCGATATTAAATTATTTGTGAGCACTTATAATTTTTTATATTTCACAAACATTACATATGCAAACAAAAAGATAAAAACAATGTGAGGAACAAAATCATACCTTTATACAAGATGAATTTGCCTTAAAAGCGATCTTAATTACAAAG